TTATAAAATAATAGGGGGGGACCTTCTAGTGAGGGGACCTACCAGAATTTACCCCAGAATCCAACATGACTGGAATTCTCATTCAAAATCAATATGCAACAATGATACTTCCTAGTTTTCTAATTAAAGAGGTACCGGTAACAAAAATTCATCCATGAAATTCATCAATGTTGATACAGTACCAAAGTTTGGGGTTCCCATCTTACACCAATGTATTAAAAAAAAATTCTGGTTGATTAAAAAAAATAAAACTACTATGTGATTCTGATAAGGTGTACAGGTGTACATATCCAAACCACAGTACGCTCCACCAATGTCAATGTAATACCAATCCTCATAGAAAGAAAAATATGACAGGTACTATGGAGCATCAGATGCATTCACTTCAAACATTTTTTGTATCCCAAAATAAGGGAGTAGATATCATAATATTTGAGGAAGAAACAAGATACATACAAAATAAGCCATGGATATACCATGATGTCGATGATGGTGATGGCTATCTTATTTTAACAATTAATTGAATACTTCAGTACAAGTTATTACAGCAAATCAGGTACAACACACACCAGCAAAAGCTTTCCAAACCACTGGTTTCTAATGTAATAGGGTATATTAGCACAAAGTTGATCTCGATTTGTTGCTACGCATAGGTACATTTCTTTTACAAGAAAAACGATAAGTTTAGATAGGGTTAAAGTACATTCAAACTAATCAATTAGTCTAAGAAGAGCAAGGAAAGGCATGTGAGATTGCTACTTAATGGAAAAATATATAACCATATCTGGATGAGAGATAGCCATTCAAGCAAGTGCTAAATAAATGGGCCACCAAACAAAACAGAGAAAGGGTAGACCAAATTTCTTAGTATACCATAAAATGCAGCTTACATAATCTCCCAAGCTGTGTCCAGACAAGAGGGCTGCTTGGGCTGTTGAGGCCTTGTAAACAGGGTGAGGGCTGTGGTGGAAACCCCCTCAGCAGACTCTAGCAGCCCAAGCCTCTTGTCTGAACACAGTTCCCAACACTAAAATTAATATGTTTGGGTAAAGCCCACTGTACAAAAGTGTTCACATGACGCTATGATGAAAATCAATTCTACAGCGTGGCAAAACTGCGTTTTTCCTCAAAAGTAAGTCATGATGGTGAATGCAAAAACATTTGAAACTTAACATATAATGAGATGAATGAGTAAAATGTAATAAACAAAACAAAATGTTGGGCAACATCTTGACCATACAAAATACTGATCTTCAAACGTACAAAAACGAGTGAGAGAAAAATGACACTATTACAACAAAGCAGTACATTCAAGACCCCCTTAATATGCAACTAAAATTACAGCATAACCAATACTTAGTACGTAAACAAAAGACATTGAAAAATCAAAAACAAGAAGAACTCTATCCAATAGGTTTTATCACCATGTATCTACTTTTGCTTATTAGGACTAAAAATTTGGATTTTAAACACAAATTGCAATGTTCCTTCAGCAAAATTAAAATACAGTATTCTGCAAAATTCCAGAATAGAACCTCAATATAACCAGAGTTATGATTTAACTGATAAATATGTTGTAATTGGCAACCAGGTAAGACAATGTGAAAAGAGATGAAAACAACATCAAGCATGATATTTTTAAGAGATTTCACATATTCTCAGCAAAATTTTAGAATCCAGAAAAGCCTACGATTGTCCAATTGAGCAACATGATAGTTCCTGCACCACTAGTTTCAGCAAAAACAAGGTACCCTACAATATAAGAAAATAAATGTTAGTAGTACAGTAAAATCAGGAGAGTACAGAATACCAGGGTATAACATACTGAGACCTTCATCCTGGGCGGTTCTAACTGTCCAGGTTTTACTGCAAAACATTCCAATGCTGTGCTTTTGAAATGCATGTTTACAAAACAAAAATCAAGGAATGATTTGGGTTGTAAATATTTTACGCATATATTATTGGTGCCATTGCCCACCTGACTGTGCACTTTGCAGATCAAGTGCACTAAAGACCATCTCTGTGGTTCTGGAATATTCTTTAAGACAGTAACAGGTACTGTTTAGTTCCTCTATAGGCTAATATCATGCTACAATTCCATTTCCAGCACTGACCAAAGTGCTAGGGGAAGCCCCGTATGTTTTTTTTTCTCATTGCGTACCTCATTGGCAAAAACATCATGACGCTCTGTTTTCTTCCACAGGTAGTAAAATTGGACTAACTCACCAACAGAACGAGTGCGAACTTTATTTTGTTGAATCAAGTGAAAGTCTTTTCCGTAAGTGCGTAATCCATTTTCAAAATTACGGCACTCTTCTTCTGACCAAAGGCTCATTGTATCTGTGGCAGCAACTACATTCATTTGACGTCTTCTTAGAGCCTCCTCCACATTGAAACCACATTGAAGTAGTAGAAATAGTGCCTGTTCATCATCTCGAGTAATGTGACTATTAGAACCACCTCCTACACCAGGAACCTTTTTCAGGAAACTGACAACGGCATCCTCAGCTAAAGCTTTAGAATCCCACAAAATTTTATCCTCGTTTTCATAAGGAAGAGCGTCATCATAACGACAGAGCCCTTCAGGTATTACTGCCTGATAGTCATGGCCCACCATAATGGTTTTCCTCCAATCTTCTTCCTCTGGCTGATAGTCATGATCATCCCCATCCTTCTCTTGCAGCCTTGGATATCTGAGAAGTCTGGCAGTCGTCCCAGGTTTTTCAATCTCATCATCTAGAACAGTAAGACAATGTTAAAGAGTCCACAGTTGTCAACACTGGTAGATAGAATGATGATGCAGTAATTAATATCAGAAGAACTCACTTCGTTGAGGAGTATCAGCTGGGATTTCACTGTACAGTTGATTTAGTTCAGAATCTTCAGGTGATTCATCATCCTCTTCTTCCTCTTCATATTCATCTTCCTCGTCCCCCGCAGGGTCAGGTATTTTCCCATCGTCACCATACCCATACATTTTCATCAATTCTTCAATTGGCATTTCACTCTCCCGCTGAAGTTCAGAAACTTCATTTTGAGTATCTCCAGCTTGTTCAAGTGCCTCTTCCTCGTCTAATGTTCTTTCGTCATCAAAGTCATTGACCATCATATCCACAGGCGGGTCGAATTCCTCATCTCTGCTTCTGTCCACCTCCGAAGACGGTCCGTCCTCTGGTACTTGAGAGTCCATTATGTTAAATGTCTGCAATCATAATAAAAAATATAAAAAATTATTTTGTATCAACACTGTTTAAAAGAAACTCATAAAGTAAAGGCTCTGGAATCCCAAATTAGTACCTTCACAAACAATAAAAAAAACAGTATAGAAAAAATTGACAGGAATAAAATGCAAAACTCTGGTGTTTACCACTCGGACAGTTAAAAAAAATCTAACATTGAAACTGGACAGAAAATGAGTCATTTGAATTGTTGAGAAATCAAAATTCGAGCAGCATATCAGAATGAGCACCAAAAACAACAAACCTTTACTTCATAGATAAATCATAATAGAGGCTATGTTAAGTATAGGATTGATGTGAAACACTTACTTGCGCTCAGGTATAAAAGATGAGATCTCCAAAAGGCATCTAAGATCATCGCATGAGAAAATAACGATATCTGAACTTATGGGGACATAAACCAACCATGACAAAAAAAAAAAAATATTTTTAATCAACAAAAAGGGACGCTCAACTCAACGCTAAAAATTCAGATCAAGCAAAACAGGGTGCGTTCTCGGTATTTGGCATTTTGACATCAGATTCGGCTTCAACCAGCATCTGACCAAAATGGCGACCATGTAGAGTTGCATTGCATTGTGGGGTCGACTAAAACTTATAGCGGGAAGCTCAAACCACTCAAACCTCAGCATAGATCCCAAGTTAGTACACTTTTTATTACTATGGTATTGAAAACAAAGGTTAGCGAAAAAAAAGGATTTGAGATATTGAAATGGCGGGTATGCGGAAAAGTTGTCTTTTTAGATGTAGAATACAGTGCAATTTTTTATTTTGAGATCGGACAATATTTTCCGATCGCGCAACGGGTTCAAAGTTACGCATTAGCTCTTATGGGGAAAATCGTCAAAAACCACGAAAAAATGAAAATCAAAAATTTAGGATTTGAATCAGATGCTTTTCGAAAAAAATATTTGGACAGCCCGCAGGTTCTTCACTGCTGTAGGTGGTCCCGCATAGTCCCGCACAGGTGACGGGCTAGAGAGACTCAGAGGGAGTGACGGGCGGGCCACGGACTTCACACAGCTGCTTGGTGGGTTTGCCTACCCAGCGCGTGGCAGGCGCTAGCATTGCGTTGACTCCGCGTGACGTTCATTGTGGGAACATCTTAATTAATTCATTCATTAATTTTTATTTAGTTTTAGAGAGGGTTTGCGACTGCTTGTGCGCTAGGCCTGCTGGAAAATCACGGACCCATTGACTAATTAATGACTATACCTATTTCACCATCACCTGCTTATCTTTACTAAGACTGATTGAGTCAGTGAGCTTATCACCGGACGTAATCAAGTCGGTTGCGAGTATAAGTGACCAGCACAGGAGCGGACGAGCTCGCACACCCACCTGGACCACAGATCATGGCGACTGTTCCGATATTGCTGCTTGCTGTCCTCGGCGCGGCTTTGGCGTGCGGAGCTCACGCAGGTAGGGGCTCAACCGAGCTCAACTCGACGAAAGATGTACCGGAGAGGTCCCTCGAAAAATAATTGACTGTCATTTGCCCTTCTGCAGATGGCTCGCAGAATAATGATCTAGTTGGTAAGTACAGCTAATCCCAGAGAATAAACGCATCCTAAAAACCGCTTTTCTAAAACGCTTATGACGCCTGGAATATCCAGTCAGCGATATGCGATAGGATATCCTCCCGAAGGTGCGAATCTCTCGATCAATGTGGAACTTTTGTGCTCTATGTTGTTGTTGTTGTTGTTGTTGTTGTTGTTGTTGTTGTTGTTGTTGTTGTTGTTGTTGTTGTTGTTGTTGTTGTTGTTGTTGTTGTTGTTGTTGCATATCTGTGTTTTTTTTAACGTGCGGCCCTTGCACCTTGCAGCGACTTACGGCGGCCTGCCGGACCCCATGCACTGGCTGAGCTTCTACTCGCTGCCTCGCACGGTGCAGCTGGCCAAGAAGGACGGATGGTCCGAGGTTGTGAACGCCACGCATGTGGCCACCGTCGACGGATTCGTGTCCACTTGGTGCAGGCAGGGCGACTTCCGCGTGTGCCTGCTGTTCGATACCGCGGGAGTCGTGGCCGGACTCCAGGCGTCCGTAAGTCAACAGTCCACCGTGCGAAATATGTTGAGAGGGAAGTTCCCCCACGATGAACGTTTCCCCGTGGTGACGTGACAATCGCTCCCTTGGCCAGAGCCCCCGCATTTTTACTTGGGTGGCCCGCCGTAGGCCGCCGTCTTCACACGGCTGCTTGGCGGGTTGGCCTACCCTTGCACAACAGGCGCTATATACGCGTAGCTTCGTGAAACGTTCATTACGGGGACACATTACCTGCCAAAGTGACATTGTTTTGATATCGTCGTAAGATATCAGCCACATGTCAGTGGGTCAGTCAAAGGCGCATGCCTTTCACGACTCCGAGCGACCATGACCTCGTGTGTTATTTCTCTCCGGTCTAGGTTTTAGCGAAAGACTTCGACAAGTCGTACCCAATCGCCATGGAGACGCTGTGGAGAAACCAGACTCTGCTGAACGAGGACGTGTACTCGGCAACCGCCCTGTTTGTCGCGCCGGGTGAGTCGCTGCGTATTATGGTCAGGCTCCTTGTTTTGCTGATATCGACCCATTCGAGTGCCCTTTCAAGTTTCAAGTATGTTTGTTATTAGTGTTTGTTTGGACTCTGGCACGGAACGAAAAACGACAATCGTGCATTAGAACGAAGCACTTGTAATTGATTATGCCAAGCGCCATGCAAAATCCCCACCTATAAAAAACAAGGAGGGGAGGGGGGGACTTTTCCTTCTGGTAGAGACAGTATTTAGGGGACTGTCTAAAAAGAACCGAAGACAAGACGAAAACAAAGCATTGATATTTGTTTGTTGTTGCATTGCAGACGTTTTGAGCGAAGGAGGTCGCAAGACCTTTGCCGATGACGACGACACCGTGACTGGCCTGTACCTGCAGAACGGACAGAACTTCTGGGCCATGCCTGCTCACGCCCAGTACGGCCAGAGCGTTGGGTTCGAGATGCAAGGCTGTGTCAAGGGCATGGGTGAGTGGTACATAGAGCAGTATACGGATAAGAGGGACTGAACGTTCATCCTGCATCGCAAAAACAACACGATCGCCGATCTCTGTCTCCAGGCCGCCACTTCTTCTACGGCATGACCTCCTCCATGCCGTGCGACGAGCACCGTCCCTTCTTCCTCCTGTTCGACGACGTGACCGGCCAACTGCACGGCTTTGGCATCACGCTGTTCGGCAAGCCGTCGTCTGGCTCATGGTTTGGCCGCAAATGGTTCGAGAGGCCGAACACGAAGCTCGTCTCGGTAAGATGCGAGGAACACTGTGTGCGATTTCGATTATACCAATACTTTTCAGGAGCTGTGAGCCGTGCTGCCGATTTTTAATGGACTTCAGGGGTAGTTAAAAGAAACTATATTTCTTTATTCATTCATTTAAACTTTTAGACAGGGTACCGATGAAAAAAATGAGTAGGTTGGCCGCAGAGGTTTGTTGATGAGGAGCGCCTGGGCCGAAGTGTGACGAAGAGGCTGCGTCACGCGTCACCTGAAACAGTCAAACCAAACTCATGAGCGATCTTCTCTCACAGGCGATGGCTCCCGACGCCCCGGCCTGCTTCCAGGACTGGTCACGCAAGAAGGGCCTGGCGGCACTGCACGTGTACTTCAAGTCGTCTCCGTGGGCAGTAGAGTGTGCGCGGAACTAAAACAGCGACCATCATGCTCGTCATTAATAAAGTTTGTCAGTTTCCCCACTTTTGCCACTCACTTTCCCTCCTAAACGCACCAAGGTGCCCCCCCCCCCCTCCCTCGGCAGCCGCGCCGCCGCAGCAGCGCACCCAAAGCAAAGCACCTGCCCGATTAGAAGCTTGGGGGGGAGGGTATCGGCGAAGGCGAGGCGGGCGAGCGCCGGGGGCGGTTTAGATCGGCGGGGGCGTGGCGGCGCGTGGCGGTAATGTGTTTCCCATGTAGGGTTCCGAGCGGCCGCAACACGTGTAGGTACAACACAGCAACCCCTCCTGAGGCCGGTCGGCCGGCGGGAGCCCCTGCGCCAGCCCTGCAGGAGCCCCCCTGCGGGAGCCCCCCCGCGGCCCGGAGCCCTGCGCCCCCAACCCCCCAGAGGGGGGTGTTAGGG